AAAAAAAAAAAAAAAAAGTCCGAACTAGGAGATCAGATCAGTTATTCACAAACCTTGACATAGGTAGAATTGTTCTTTCCTCATGATAATCGCTGTCACATTCATTTATATACTCCCTTAACACAGTTAATACTCGAACCATTCGAACAGCTTCCTGTCTTGCACAATTAATACTGTCTTTGTCTCCATCCAAAACACACAACGTGTCATAGGAGGCTTTCAAACGATCAAAGCAAGACTGAATAAAGTCTTCATGGATCACCACCTACAAATAATGAGCCAAATAAGACGGTTCAAATTGCTTTGAAATGTAAAAATTAAATGTATATATGACCGATTAAAGATGGCAACAATGAGTTTAAAGGTAGCTCTCATTAACCATGATCATATTTAACCAGAGAGTCTATACTGATAACAAGCATACTATGTTTTGTCAAAGGAAGCTAGAGTTATGTAGGTATAAACTAGATGCTCAAAAAATAAACTTCAGAATTAGGTGTTAGAATCAAAAGAAAATGAGTCAAAATCTCTTGCCATAGTTATACTCAAAATAATCACTTCAAGATAATCATCAACAGAAGAATCATTTAGATAACATTGTGTACAAGAGAAATATGGACTAAATAATTTTAGGTATATTTTTAATAAGAGTTTAAACAAAAGAATTTCTAGTTAATTCTGAATTAAAGAAAACATTATTATAAGCAAGAGTTCTTCAATCAGAATTCTAATTTGTATAAGTTTTAATGCATGTCAATCCTCACCTGATTGACCTGTAGCCTTGGACCAAGGTTTGTGTATATTTCTTTAAGGAGATCTATAGCTCTGCTGGCAATATCATCATTACTCTGAATGACAACCTAGGCTCAAAAAGATTCAAGTGTAAATAACTTCCAAGAAAAGTAGTTGGGCATTTCAATTCAAACTATACCCTCAGTTATTTTAAATATAGTATTCAATAATTTAAGAGTACATCGACTCTGATAATCAAGTAAACCACGTAAAATTAGATGAGAAAACAGACCGAAAGATAAAATAAATGCAAAACTCAAGTCTCTGAATAAAGAAATTTGTTTAAGAATGGAAAACACATTCTACTAAGGATATAATAGGCTTTGGCCAGTATTACCATTATTTTTTGACATATTATTGACATACAATATCCTATAAGTTTCAGGTATATATCACAGTGATTTGATATTTTATATACATTACGAAATGACCCCCATTATAAGTCTAGTTACCATCTGTCACCAAAGTTACAATATTATTGACTATATTCCCTATGTTGCACATTACATCCTCATGACTTATTTATTTTATAACTTGAAGCTTATATACCTCTTATTCCCCTTTACCGATTTCACCTGCCCAACCCCACTTCCCCTCTGGTAACCACCAGTTTGTTTCCTGTATCTACAAGTCTGTTTCTGACTAATGTTAATTTAACCCTGCAATTCAACACCCTGATAACCAATTTGTGAGACATTAAAAGAGGAATTCAAATTAGTTAAAAGGAAATACAAGATCACACAAAATACAGTTTAGCATAAAGGGTTCCCCACCCCATTTCTACAGATCTTTATCACTCATCTATTTATATCAGTGGTATTCAAACTATGTGCAGAACTCCAGGGCTCTGATGAAGTTTTTAGGGCTGAACCCTGTAATAGGCTTCGGAAGGGGGAAGGGGGTCAAGTGCAAGAGACTGAACAGAAAAAGAAAACAGGATTTCCTTTCTTACTTCAACTAGCTTTACATTTGAGTATTGCATAAATTTTGATTTTAAAAGGGTTTCTGCTGTTTAAAAATGTTAAAAGCTTATGTCGACTATAATTGAAAAATAAAAAAATTATTAAAATGTTGAAAACCCCTTACTTAATGAAAAAGTCTCATCAAATACCACAGTAAAGATCTCAGTCTATCGCTTGCAGGGAAATATTTCTTATCCAAAAAACAATACAAACTGCTGTCAAACAGGTCAGATTTTTTTTTTTTTCTTAGCTGAGCCATCCTGCTACCACCTGTTGGCAGCTCAGCTCGTGCCGGCCAGCAAACTGCTTTTGCTCAGAGCTTGCACTCTTGAGCGAGCTCTTAAACAACTGAGCCACTCGGCCGGCCCCAGGTTTTTAAAGATAGGAATAATACAATACTACTACACTGTGACAACATGATGAACCTTGAGGGAAAATTATGCTAAGTGAAATCAGTCACAGAGAGAAATACAAATACCATGTGATGTGATCTCACATATGGAATCTAAAAACAAAAAAACTAAAACCAAAAAACAAATTAAAAACCGAACTTATAGATACAGAGAGCAGATTGGTGGCTGCCAGAGGTGGGGGTGGGGTGGGCGAAATGGGTGAAGGTGGTCCAAAGATACAAACTTCCATTTATAAAATAAGCCTTGTGGATGTAATGTACAGCAAGATGATGATAGTTAATAATACTATATTGCATATTTGAAAGTTGCTAAGAGTAAATCTTAAAAGTTCTCATCACAAGAAAAAAAAATGGTTAACTGTGTGGTGATGGATGTTTAACTACACTTATTGTGGTCATCATTTTGGAATATATACATATATCAAATCTTCATGTTTTATACCTGAAACTAATATAATGTCAATCCTCACCTGATTGACCTTCATTATATCAGTGAAAAGTACACATATATTAATAGTATAAAGGCAGAAAGATTAACCTTAAATAGACGATAATATTTTACTACCTCAGGTATTTAAAAATACCACAAGTTAAACACTGCTGGTTGATCAAGTGTATGTTCATAAACCATTCTAAATAAAGTGTTCTCTTCTGCCCTCTGTTTATTTTAACATTAACTATTTAATAACCTAAAATTAACTCTGAATAAGAAACCAATCTACATTGAATAAAAAGAGGGAAGAACAATGACTTCCAGAGGGAGGTGCAAAAAATTTGCACGGTTAGTGCACTTCGAACCACATCTGGAAAAGATTCCTAAGCCAAGACAAAAGGAACATTTGAGGCAGGAGGGGGAGGGGAAGGGAAAAAGAGAAAAACCCGGGCCAGCCGAGTGGCGCGATGGTTAAGAACTCGGTTGGGATGCCAGAGGGCCCCGGTTCGGATCCCACATATGAGGACCAGTGACACTGCCTTCTACAGCTAAGATGCTGAACAACAGCTCAACCTGGAGCTGGGCTGCCGTGAGTCGCTGGCGACGGCGTAGGCTGCA